TCAGGAGCAACGATTTTGAAAAATACTATGTAACTTGGGAAAGGCTGGAGAGCATCATGCTGAGTGAACCAAAGCAGTCTCATAAGAAATACTGCACAAGACTATTACTGTAAAAATAGAAGGACAACTAGTAAAACATGTTTGGGAACTCAAGGCGGTGGAGGGGTGGAAGCAAAGGGGAGATGTTAGGTAGGTGCAAAACCACAGGGTTGTGCAGTTTGGTGGATGGGAGGAAGGGAGCAAAGAAAGGGGAAGGATCTGGGCAAAAAGACAGAGTCATGATGGGCAAGGTCCAGTGGTAATTCATTTTATTAAATGTAATGCATGAGAATGATTGTATGAAATGCAATGTGAAGGAAGAATAGTATGAAACACAGTATATACGAAGTTTGTAAGCAAGCCAATAAATATAAATAAGTAAAATAGCCATTATATGCAATCCGGGAACATAATTTCAAAACTCAGTTCCATTGGAGGAATGTCTTTTTGGATAAGAATTTGCAAAGAAACAGGTGAATGTATTTTACATGACTCCATGAAAAATAAACAGAGTAGCTCTAAACTTGCCAGTTATAATCATGTTTTGCAATCTTATTTTTTTTCTTATACATCCAATAAAGAAACAGAATAGATACTCAGAGCTTTAGCAAGTTCTTAACTGAATGTAAACGCATTAACCAAATTACTCATTGAATCATTTCTCACACGTCTCAGCGGTCAGGAATTTAAAATGTACAGTTTCTTTTGAATCCACAGCCATTCTGACACAGCTTGGATTAGTCAGTGTGACTGCACCCATGTGGAGCTTTCTCACCTCCAAACCCTCTACAGCTAATGTGTATTTATATTTCTATACTCACCAACTGCAAGCAGGTGAGAAAGGGGTGAAAGCAAGCAAAGTGGGCAGTGGCAAGTCAATGCAAAGCCGCCTGGTATGAAGTGCTATTGTCTGAAATGGGTTGTTTCTCATTGACTTATCCCAAGGTTCCTGACTACATTCACCTAAGCTGCAACAATACTACTAAATATTTATAAAGTTCCTACCTTCTAGGTGCTCAAAGAAAAAATATTTATGTGAGTGATCTCAGCAGTTCTCTAACACTCAAGCATTTCCTAACTTTAGTCTATAAACAACACTGCTTGTGCGGATAGGTAACTGGTCCAAGTTAATATTATGAGTCAGTAGCAGCAGAGTCAAAAATAGACCTCTGGTTTGTCTCACTCTCATTTTTCTTTAGCTAGATATTTTTCTATTTCCTAACATTCAATGAAAATAATTTTATAAGTCAACAGGTCATTACTGTCAAACATTCAACAAAGACAGCACTTTCCCCATCAGCACCAGTCTGTGACCCACTAGTAGCTTTATGGCATACTCCTGACTTGGATAACTGGTGATACTGATAATGAGGATAGTGTGCATGGAGGAGAGGATTTATCACACATGTATCATCCGAGAATCAAAGTTGCTCATAAATGGAAAGCCAGTTGGTGCTCAAAATAGATGTAAAAAATCTCATCTATAAATTACTTTCTAAAGTAAAACCGATTTAAAATATTGTAGTTGTGAAAGAAAAAGAAGTTCTCTTTTTCTCACTATTTACCATCTATTAGAAATTCCCTTTATGGAAGACTGGAAATTGTACCAGTAATATAAGTTTGCAGAGTGTTGTTGTTGATGTTGCTATGTGCCATCATGTTGACTATGCCTTATAATGACACTTTGAAAAACCCTTCTGAACTTTACCCTATTCTGAGCAAACCTCACCATCTCTGACACAGCTGACCCTATTGCTACAGTCACTCTGTCAATCCATCTCATCCAGGGTCTTTCTCACTTGCACAGACAATCTACCCTTCCAAGCATGAAGACCTTCTCCAAGAACTGGCACCACCTGACAATATATCCAAAGTATGTGAGACAGAGTTTCAAAATCCTTGCCTCCAAGGAACAATCTGATTTTACCCTTTCCAAGACAAACTTGTCTGTTCTCTTGATAGTCTATGATACTCCTCTCCAACATGACAGCTCA